GCGTACACGTTGCTATTTATTGGTCATAAATATGTCTCTTGTCTCGTTTTTTTTAAGTATTAGTTTTGTTTTATTTGGATAAATAATGAGGAAATGCAGACAGCAAATAATTAGTGGATATTATTAAATACAATAATGATAAGTGGAAAATATATGTGTCACATCATACGTGTAATGTATTTGTAGTGGCGCACTTAGCTTGTTTTTTGTTTTGGGGCTAAATCTGGTGCTCGGAAAATGCTCCACTTTTTGAATCTTTGGTTTGTTTCAACCGCAGAGCTGTACAATGGGCTATTTGTTGGGCCACACCCGCCAAGAGATCGAACTCCAAATTTTAAAGTTACAAGCCTTCGAGCTCACCGTTTATTAATTAATGTCATAAATGTGTTTCCTCATAGCAAAGCCACATCGGGCTATCTGCTGTGTCCACCGAGAGGACTCGAACCCCTGATTTTAGCGTCGTAAATCCGAAGACTTACCGCTGTCCCATCGGATAATAATTTTACAAATAAAATAGGTATTAAGAATCGGGTTACTTTAGGCTTTCCCTTGGAATCATAGCCTATAAACATACTAAATTTTGATGAAGTATCCATTTCATGACATTTACTAGCACGTTCACGAGGGGACTTGACTAAATCGCACGAGAAAATTATATTTTAAATGTGTTTTTATTATAATCTTGTTAAAAGTGATTATAAAATGAAAAAAATAATAAAGTATTAAAACATTAACCAGTAAGTTAAGAAACTCTGTGAAATAAAATAAACAAATTAATTAATTAAAGTATTTTAAAGAATAAGGTACAGACTGAAGAGATTAAAACATGGCTTATAATTTTAAGAACCCACAAGTGGAAACAAAGAAGAATACATTATGATATATATAAACCACACTACATCTGTCATATCGAGTGCCTACGAGGTCTTTCGCATAATACTAGAGTTCATCAGGCCGACTGGAATACGACAGACATATCATCATTACTTTATATTGACAATAAACAACTGGTAGGGTGTCAATCAGATTAAACAAGTGAATTGTAATTAATATATACGTTATTTAAGTCATTTCCAATTAGATTTTTTGGGATGAGGATTAATAACGTCAACAATGTGTAAATACAGCTTTGTTGGATATACCTGACTGTTTCATTTCATTTTTAATTTTAACGTGAATGTTATGATTTAGATTGTTTACATAGTTTGGGTATTAAAGTAAATTATTTTACAAGCTATAGATATGACAGATTTACTTACGTAATTGTTTACGAATCATTTGTTGTGTAGTTTAATTTTTGTGAATTGACATTATGTTACTCTAACCTTCTGAAATCTTCTCGTTGCTTTAAGTGAGTATTGTTACATCATAACGTCTGGTCTCGTAGTTTGCAAAACGTTCTAGGTCTCAGTTGGGCAATACATATATATGTATATAAGCGATCAAGTTAATGAAAATAAAAGTGAAACAAAAAATGAAGTTAGACTGGGCGATCGTGAACTTAGCCATAAATTGTGTATAGTGGCGACTTTTTAAAAGTGTAATAATAGCAGACTATATTGTAATAACAGAGTAGAGTAGAATAATCCGTCATGTCAGTTGGGTTCTAAAGTAACTGAACCAGCCTATGTGGACTTTTGACGTGAAAGAAAATTATTTAAAGCTCTGGACACAGCTGTGGTAACCAATGGGGTAACTAACGTAAGTGAATTTATCACTGATTGTATTGTGATGACAGAGTAGAGGAGAATAATTTGTCTTGTCAAAGGGTGTTATAAAGTAATTGAACCCGCCTGTGTGTACTTCGACAAAAATGAGACAATTATTTAAAGTTCGAGATACAACTGTGATAACCAATAGGGTAACGAATTTTAGTTTGGCTTGTTTTAAATATATTATATTAAAACAAGTGGATTGTGTGCTATCCATTTAATGTTAAAATTTATCGCCAACAAATCACACACACACCTACTGTAAAGAATCGTGGCCCCTATAAAACCTGACAGGCTTTAAGGAGGCTAAGAGCTTATATATATATATATATGCAGAAACATACATTTACACATACACATATTCTCAAGAAAACCTAGAATTTGTGTTTAGTCAATTTTTACCGTTATTATTGCCAAAGTGAAACTTACGTTTTTTATTTTTTGTTCCATAATTTTCGTGCAAATCTACATAGCTGTCTATAGTTTTGAAATGATAGACTAGAGGTAAGGCAGCTAGCTGAAAACATTAGCCTCCAACTCTTTGGATACTCTTATCTGACCCTACCACAAACTACAGTCCGGGTCCTATTTTTCAGTAAATAATTAAACTTCATTGTTTTAGTCTAATTTTAAAAGAC